TTTACAACAGCCACGAAATGGAAGCAACCTAAATGTCCATCAATAGATGAATGGATAAAGAAGATGTGGTACAATATACACAATGGAATATTACTCAGCCATAAGAAAAAAACAGATCCTACCATTTGCAACAACATGGATTGAGTTAGAGGGTATTATGCTCAGTGAAATAAGCCAAGCAGAGAAAAACAAATACCAAATGATTTCACTCATATGTGGAGTATAAGAACAAAGAAAAACTGAAGGAACAAAACAGCAGCAGAATCACAGAACCCAAGAATGGACTAATGGTTACCAAAGGGAAAGGGACTTGGGAGGCTGGGTGAGCAGTGTGGGATAAGGGCAGGGAAAAAGAAAGGGGCCTTACAATTAGCATGTATAATGTATAGGGGGGCATAGGGAGGGATGTGCAACACAGAGAAGACAAGTAGTGAGTCTACAGCATCTTACTATGCTGATGGACAGTGAGTCTAATGGGGTTTGTGGGGGAGGACTTAGTGAAGGGGGGCGTCTAGTAACCATAGTGTTCTTCATGTAATTGTAGATTAATGATAATAAAATGAATTAAAAAAAATTAACCAAAAATGGACCAAAAATATAACTGTAAGAGCTAAAACTATAAGACTTTTAGAAGAAAGCATAGGGGAGAAGTTTCATGACATAGGACAATGATTTCTTGGATATGATACCAAAACCACAGGCAGCAAAAGTGAAATAGATAAACTGGACTATATCAAAATTAAAAACTTCTGTTCATCAAAGTACATAAGTAAGAGACTGAAAAGGCAATCTACAGAATGGGAGAGAATATTTGCAAGTCAAACTACTGTCATGTCCAGGATATATGAATAACTCCTTCATCAATAAGATTTAAGCAACCCAATTTAAAAGTGGGCAAAAGACTTGAACAGACATTTCTGTGAAGAAGATATACAAATAGGCCTCAAGCACATAAAAAGATGCTCAACATTACTAATTATTAGAGAAAGTCAAATAAAAATCATGACATATGGCCTTCTACTCATTAGAATGGCTACTATGAAAACACCAGAAAACAATACATTATGGTGAGGATTTGGAATCCTTGTGCACTGTTGGTATGAATGTAAAATGGTGCAACCACTACAGAAAACAGCATGAAGTTCCTCAAAAAAATAAAAAATAGAATTATCACATGACCCAGGAATTTCACTTTTGGATATATAGCCAAAATAATTGAAAGGAAGGTCTCAGAGAGATATTTGTACACCCGTGTTCATAGTAGCATTATTTCCAATAGCCAAAAGGTGGAAGCAATCTAAATGTCCACTGAGGTGAATGGATAAACAAAATGTGGCACACATATACAGGGGAACATTATTCAGCCTTAAAAAGGAAGGAATTCCTGATGTATGCTACAACATGGATGAACCTTCATATTATGCTAAATGAAATAAGCCAGTTGCAAAAAAAAGGTAAAATACACACAATCCTGTATTAGGTGAGGTACCTTGAGTAGTAAAATTAATAGAGACAGGAAGTAGAATGGTGGTTGCAGGAAGGGAGGAACGGGGAGTTGTTGTTTCATGGATACAGAGTTTTAGTTTTGCAAGATCAAAAATTCTGGAGATTGGTGCCACAGCAATGTGCATGTACTTAACACTACTGAACTGTTTACTTAAACATGGTGAAGATGGTAAATTTCATGTTACATATATTTTACTACAATTAAAAATAGAAAACAAAAATAAACATACATATGTTTATTCCTAGTAGTAAATAACATTATGTATAATAAAAATGAAAGACAGTATAAAAAACTGTTAATAATGTGTATTAAAGGCATTTTTAAAAGTAGAAAAGTATGGTAAATGAATCCATTGTATAAAATTACAGGCAATCCCCCATTATGGATGGAACTGTGTTCTCCCAAAATTCATGTTGAAGACCAAACTCCCAGTGTGAGTCTATTTAGAGTTGGGAAATTTAAGGAGGATAATTATGGTTAAATGACTCCATAAAGCTGGGGCCCTAATCCTTTAAGAAGAAGAGACACCAGAGCTCTTTCTCAGCTTGCACACAGAAGAAAGGCCACGTGAGGACACAGAAGGAAGATAACATCTGCAATCCAAGAAGCAAGGCTTCTCCAGAAACCAGATTTTCCAGCACCTTAACCTCGGACTTCTAGCATCCACACCTGAGAGAAAGTGTATTTCTATTGTTTAAGCCACTCTGTCTGTGATACATTATGATGGCAGCCCCTTAGATGAATACATCTCCTTTTTAAAAAACCATCATTAGGATCCTAACCTTTCTAGTACACAATTAAGTAACCAGTTAAGCAGTTATTCTAAGTTCTGAGGACAAAACAAACTGCACCATCTAAAATGAATTAAGGTGAGATTTAAGCACCAAAGGGCAAAAATATAGCCTGAGCCCTAGAAACAGACATAAATATACAAAACATGCACTGATTTTACAGTGAAATCTAAACAAGTTTAGTACACAAAATTCAGTATGAAACATATTTTAAGCCATAATTAATAATAAGCACACAATCTTTCTTACTTTCTTAGAATTCAGAGGGGCTCTTAAAGATGGTTAAAATAAGTATCAGGCCTCAGAAAGTATCAGGTCAAAGTTTGAACTAATTTTTTTTGCCTTTGCCTTTTCAAATTGATTATAGACAGTTACATTTGAAGTTATTTCAAAGACATTAGGGTTAAGCTTGTAAGTTATTGTTAGTTATTACCATGGTGAATAATAAGTAAGACTGAGAGTACCATTATATGTACTTAGGTGTTTCAGGTTAAGGAGAAAGCTCACACAAGTATATGAAAACTTTGAATAGAAACACCCTTTACCTTTTCCTGAAATTCATCCTTATTTTCTCCTAAGGTTTCCTCTGTATGCAAATTCATGGAACTTCTCTCAGAAATTTTCATTTTTAGTGTGTCAATTGTTTCTTGGTATTGTTTCAAAGACTCAAGAGCAGTTCGTAATTGTTCTTGGGTATCTATGTTCTTTGTCAGAGATAAACAGAAAACAATTTCCATTAGAGTACTGTGACGGAATGAAAATTATTTTACAGTTGCTACTTGATTATAAATAATAAATGATGGCTCCTATAATGTTTTTAAAGAGGCTCTGAATTTTCAAGTTGAATCAGTCAAAGCCTCACCATATTTACAGTGTCCTGAATATCCCTTCTGAGTTGGTCCCTCTCTGTTTGCAGGTTCTCCCGGAGTTGTGTTAGGTCACCTTTTTCTTGGGTTAAGGTTCTTACTTCAACTAAGGTTTGTTGAAGTTTCGCAGTTATCAGTGTTTTCTCCCTTTCTATGGTTTGTAGCCTAGAATTTCTACTCTCTAATTGTTCCTTCAGCTCTTCCACTTCATTTAATCTTTCTTGACTCTCAGTTGTTTTCTGCTTAAGTTCTTCGGTTTTGTGAGAAAGCTTTAAAGTAAGAAAAAGTAAATGTGAAAAGCAGAGCATTCTATGGCATATATATGGAAGCTAAACCCTAGAAGACTATAGATTATTTCCTTAGGGAATGTCAGGTACCAACCTCTGTGTGTAAAGCATCCAAGCTTAAACCAAGTTTTTGAGCTTTAGAGAGATTTCCTATTTCCTGGTTCATTCTTGCATTCTCCTCAAGGGCCATCTTATACTTCTGCTCAAATTCAGTATGTTGATTTTTAAAATCTTGGATTTCTTGATTAGCACTTTCATAATTCAAATGCATAGTTGCTAGTTCGTTTTTAGTTTTCCCAATTTCTTCAAGTAAATCTTCAATTCTATTCTTCTTATAAACTACTTCAGAAAATAATTGATCTTTTTCTGATGTTATTATACAGAGCTCTTCAGATTTATCATGTATCTATGGAAAAGAAATAAAATTTAGCTATGTTAGCAATGTATGATCTACTGAAGCAATTTTTAGGAAAAAATGTATTTCTCTGCACTGAAATTGAGCAAGAATTGACTGTGGAAGGGAAATATTTTATTATCACATCTCTGTAACAATATATTATATATCCTGTTTAACTTTACCTTCAAAATTTTGTTTACTAATCTCTCTGAATTCTAGTAAAGATTTCATGGAGAACACTTAGCATCCACATCAGGATAAATACCATCTTTATTTCCTTATCTATCATTTTAAAGTGTTTTCTAAATTTGTGGTATCAGGCATTTCATGGTTTTTCTTAGAATTTATCCTATATTTTCTTTCTAAAGGTTTTGAATGTAGCTGATTTCCAAGAACTTAATCCATGAATAATTTAAATAATTAAGGTTTATTTAACATATTTAAATAACTAATTTAAACAAACCATATCCAGCTTATAAATAGTTTCATCATTATGAAAGACAAGGTAGGAGGTGGAAAAAAGAAGAGCTAAAGGAGAGACAAAGGAAGCAAGCGTCATACAGCAGAGTTGTTACAATCACAGGCTTAGGATAGGAGGCAGACCTATGCAGCTCAGCTCTTAGTTAACTTTTTGTTGGGCTAAACACCAGCATCTACTTTAAAAAGTGATGATTAAATAAAATAATGTTGCTAGAGTTCTTTAGCATGATGTTTGCCATATATTAAGTTCTTCACCGTGATGGTAAGCACTCAAATTCTTGTCATTTTTCTTTTAGAAAGGTAGAGAGAAAGGCAAGGCTAGCAGATGAGCTTACAGAATTGCTCACTAGCCTCCAGGATTCGTGCTGACCTCAAACTTTATCAGTGCCACCCACTTTATCCCACTACTCTTTTCCTCAGTATCGTGATATGACTAGAACAAAAGAAAGTCAGATAAAGACTAAGAGTAGGCCATAGAATGCTACTTAAATGCCATAGTTGAGGACCACAGAAATGGCTGATGCATGGAGCATGTGAGTAAGTATACACTGCTAAATATAGTTTGGAAATACATTTTTTTCTCATCTAGTAGTATAAAAACAAATTAGAAGAGGCACAGTATTCATTTCTATTCCTAACAAGCTGAGTGGAACATTTATAGTCTCTTGCCTGCTACTTTATAATAAACTATGGCAAATATTTAAGGCACTATTGCAGAAGTTTGTATTTCAAAACAAGAGTAATTTGCTTAAAAACGTGTGTACCTCTTTCCGCAGCATTTCTACTTCTAAGGGTAAACATTTCAATTCTGAGAGCAAATTAACTTCTTTACGTAAAGCTTCATTTTCTTCGACTTCTTTATTCAGCTCTTTCTGGAGATCAGTAATCTTTCTTTCCAATTCCAAATTACAGAGAAAATCTAGGAAATTTTCAGTAAATTAAAACAACTAGTAGGTATTGGGACAATGTACTCACATAGGAAGTTTAGATTACTTAATTAGATTATAAAAAATTTATTAAATAAAGAGCCACTGTTGGTTAATAATTGTTTGTGGCTGATATTTTAATTGTTAGTAGTTCTTGATTCATCTTTTTAAAGATCAGGTATAATTTATTTGAAAAATAATTCTTAAACCTTTATGATTTGAAGTCCATGGAAACATTTATAAATACTGATACTAAATGATATTGAAACTTAATACTGGGCTATTAAAAAATAACAAAGAAAAAAATATTTTTAATCACTGGAATGCAGTTACATTTCTAGAGTGAGTCAGATCTGCAAAGTGGTAAAGCATGAAATTATAAAGTACCTTTTGGAACTTTGCCATCTATAAGAGAGGTGAGTTTTGTTATTTCATTAAAAGAGGATTGTAATTCTTTCTCCAGATCAACTTGCATTTTTTTTTTTGTCTCCAACTGGTTTTGATATAACTGAATATCATTTTTCATTTGCTTGCATGTACTTGCAAGTTCTTCCTATTGGGAAAAACATTGCAAATTCACAAAAAAATATACTTTTATTACAACTATTTTGTTATAAATATTATAAAAATCACCTACCATTTTCTCTTTCAGCTCCTGATTTTCACTTCTAAGAAAGGCCGATTCTTTCTTGGCATCAAGAATTACAGTTTCAGTATCAAGCAGAGTCTGTTTTATTTGTTTGAAGTCTTCAGTGTTTTCCTATACACATGAAAAACAGGATTTAGTGAACTCTAACTTTGTTAGAGTTGGAAAAGGCTTCAGAGAAGGTATATATAGATGTTATTCCTAACATAAAAAATAGTGAATGTATACTAATTACCAAATGTATTTTTAGGATAGATGAAAAGAAAGGATGTTTTTCATAGTAAACATGTTTTAAAAAAATCTGACATTTTTCCAAATTATAAAAGCATTGTATAGAAGTACCGTAGTTTAAGAAATGTTACTGTTTTAAAGAGGTTGAAACAGTTGTTCAGGTGGCCTATTAAGGTTACATTTCTATATATTTTTAAGTTACTTTCTCCAAAATATAACAAGTTAGTTGATAGTAATAATTATAGATACAAAATCACTAATTGAAAAGAAAAAGACAATCCAGTAGCAAAATAGAGAAAAGATGTAACTGGCAACTCACAGAAGAGAAAACGCAAATGAATGATGAACACAGGAAAAGATTCAGTCTCAGTTTTAGAGAGAAGACCCATTTTATCATGCTTTTAGCTTACAGAAATTCAACCATACGCCCTTGGCAAAACAGTAATGCATAAATGAAAGACTGAATGAATCAAATGGACGAATAAAGAGAAATAAACAATTCTTAAAAAGTGGGCAATTCTGTTTGCCACTCTATCGATAGTTCAGGATTATACGAAAGTGCCTTTTTTCCCAGGGCCTCAGAACAGTAAAAATACTTTTAAAAAGAATCATTTGTCATTAACAGAAGACAAAAGAAGAATACTAATTGAAGGTAACAAAAAATCCTCTAAGGAACTCAAATGAAAACAAAACAACAGAAACTAATATTAAAAATTTCTAGCTAGAAACTGTTGCCTTTTTAAAAAGGGTATTAAAAACTAGAGTCAAACTATATTTTCTTGAAATAATCAGGTGGATTGAAAGCAAATAAAAACAAACGAAATTTCACCATGAGATTCAATGTTATTTAATGCAATAATCTATACCAACTAACATCATCTAGAGCTATAGGTTTCTGAAAAATACTTGGCAAACTGGTAAAATAGTTATTTAAATTATAATGAGAATTCATTAATATTTATTAATGAAATGATCAAAGAAATCAGTATCAATATAAGTGCTTACCTGAAGATACTGACTATACAATTTGACATGCAATTTGTGTAAAACAGTTGAAAAAAGTAAAAATATTTTTTAATTACTTATTTTTAATGGAAGCTCGTCCCTAAGTTATATTCACTTAAAGAACGATACTTTAATTTTCTATGACCCTAACAGGGTTATTGATAGGATTAAATAATATACTATATATAAAACAATTATATCAATGCCCAGAACATAGTAGACTCAATATACACATTTACTATGATGATGATGATTACACAACAAAATAAACCTGATTTTTACCAATGAGCACAAGTCCACTTCCATATTTTCTGACTTCTGAGAGTCTAGGTGTTTCTGTAGCTTCTTAATCTGGTCTTCCTTTTTGTTAAGCAACTCTACTTTTGAACTTAGTTCATTCTAAAGAATCAAAGGAGAGTAAAACAGAATTTAATTGAATTTAAGTTATAAGGGATTAAAAAGTACTATTTAAGAGTTTAAACTGGTACATAGTTAAATAAAAAAAATTAGTATTTAAAAAAATATCCCTTCTGAAATTAATTATGTATATTTTATATTTTATTGTTCTAGTTATCAGTAGAAATACCAACATAAATGCTCACCTCAAGATCTTGATTATACACTTCTGCATGCTTAACTAAATTCTTTAAGTTGGAAATTTCATGTATTAGTTGCATCTGTAAGAGCATGTGAACAGGCAACAGAGCAAACCAATAGTTAATAAAGCAAAAAAAAAAAAAAAAAATGCATTAATCCTCAGAATCACCCAGCACAGTAAAGAAGGGACTGAGAGATCATCTGTTCAAGCTACTGAAACAGAGCATCTCATTATTAAAAGACAAAAACAAAAACCTCCAAACCAACCAATGAAATGAAAAATTCCCAAAGCCCCACAAAACCAGAAACAGGAAGGAAAAAAAAAAAATCTCAGCATAACTCAGTAGTTATGTCATCTGTTAATAAAGCAGTAACAACATCATAGCAAATTAATATGATTAATATGTACCATTTGGAAGAGATAAAGTAGTAATCAAACTTAAAAAACACTTTCAATAGATTTTTATTTTGGGTAAGGCGAGTGCAAAAATGTATTTACTTTTATAAGATTTCTTTTCTTCACATAAAATATCCACGTAGCTTTACAATTGGCACACTTTTTAATGAGCTGTGATTTGGACTTTAGGTTTGGATTAACGTGGTTTCACGTGGTACCTTTACAGTATTATTGCTGTTCATCAAAGCTACAGATAATGTATGGGATTCTCAACTATTACCTTGTTGGTTTATTCTACAGGAAATATTGGAAAGATGATGCCATTGCTTTATATTGGTCAACTGTCTAAAAGTATAAAGAATACTTAAAGATACAAATACTTCTATTAAAGTTCCCTTTCTATCCAAAGTAGCATCAAATAAATTTGAATACTAACAACACACTTGTGTTCAAAACAACTAAAATTTCCTAAAGATAAACAAAATTTTCCTTAGAATTACTTAATTTTCATAATCAGATGAGTCCTTAAAAGTAAAAGCAAATTCTAGTAGAACATAGGGACTTATGTAAATAGCATCTTATTTACATAATACTCTCTGGATATTTAATTCAGTCCTAACTTGTTTCAGACTTCAGTTTAGTATGAGTGTTGACATTCTTATTTTAGGTCAGCATCATCCAACAGAAATAAAATGTGAGTCAAATTCGTAATTAAAAATTTTTGAGTAGCCACATTAAAAACAAAAGTAAAAAATAACAAGTAGATTTAATTTCAACAAAATATTTCAACCTAATCTATCAAAAATGTCATTTTGTCATGTAATCAATATAAAAAATAAATATTTTATATTCTTTTCTCACACTTCAGTCAATTCGGACTGGCCCCATTTCATGGGCTCAATTGGCACATGTGGTTACTGGCTGCCCAACAGCTCAGCAAAGTTTTAGACATTTGCAGTAATTTTAACTTAAACTGGTTCCATCCTTTACTTTTCTTCCCTGTTTCTAACTTTTGTGCAAGAAAACTAACTTTGCTTGTTTCTAACTTTTGTGCAAGAAAATCACATTAACCAGTAAGGATGTTATTTTACAAGTAAGGAAGAACTAAATAATCAAATTCTGAAAACATTTAGAAAGTAAACATTTAGAAAGAAAAATCTCTGAATTTTCATTTGACACAGCATTTCAGGTATTGACTCTCATCATCAGAAAAAGATTAAATGACTTCTGTAGAGGTCTGTGCAAGCCCTCCTATTGATGTATCGTTTAAGATGCTGAGCATAAAAAGACAGTGTATGATATGCCGAAAAGTTAATCTGTTACTACCTAAGAAAATACTGCAGATTTCAAATGAAATTTTACCCTAACCTGAAGAGTGGAGATAGATAGGAAGTTAAGTCCTGAGAGATTCAATGACTTACTCAAGGACTTGCCAATAATTCAAGCCAGGCTCAAATCTGCAGTTAGGAAGGAGCAAAACTGGGGCTTTAAACCAGATAGTTTGGCTCCAGAGACCATGCCCTTAAGCACAATATTAGATCACCTTCTCAATGAAACCCACTTTTAATGACTGAAGTGCACTGTTCTTTTCATGACGTTTCGCATTTTGTTAATATGCAAATTTTAAAATGAGTTAAATGAAACTTTGTTAGTACAGACTTTTCAATATATAATACTTATGAAAAGTAGTAGTAACTTTAATTTATAGGTAGAAAGGACACAATAGTTTTGCAACAGAATTCTTTTTTCCTTTCATGAAGGAAAAGACTATGAGAAACTAAACAGTGAGACTGAGGTGAAAAGACTGTGCTCCTTTGGGCTAATCACACAGAAACCAGAGGAGCTGCAAATTAACACATATTTTTAACTACATCAAAACACTGGCTCTGGGGGGAGGTAGATGGATCATTTCACAAATCTGAAAACAGCTATGGATTCTTGTTCCAGAAAAATAAATGTGCATTCAAAAAGTCTGCAGAACAATTTCACTGTGTTTAACTCTAGCTTAAGGACTCTCTGCACTAAGAAACCTTTTGAACCTCTGGATAATTTTCAGAATCTCCGAAGTCTAATGGTTTCTAGATTAGGTTCTATCATCATGCTGCCTAATATTATATACTTATAAAATGGAAGGGATCTGTTTCATTCCTAAAAATTCCTTAAAATTATTTAGCAGTAGTTTTACTAATTGTCACAGTAACTCTCTCATATGGGAAAAGAAATGTGCAAAATCAGCTCCTCCAGCAATTCTAATAATGTCCTAACTATTTAGGAATATACTTTCTAAAGAAAATAAAATCCATAAAATGTATCCATACATACAACGTTCAGCTAAACAGTAAAATTCACATTGGAAATGGCTAGGTTCTAAGTAGCATTTCTGGTATGCTTAATAAATTAAATATTGATAATTACAAATTATAAGTAATTTCTTCAGGACAAATCAATAGGCAGATTCACCAAATCTTTCCAAAGACGTTTTTAATTCTTTATTCTTGTGTATAAATACAAGTGAAACAGATGATTTAACAATTTTTAAAACTATATAAATAAATAATTTATTGAATTCTGTACCTGTGTATACATATGAAAATGGCTGGATCCTTACTACATCACCCTTAGAAATATATATCTCTAGAATAATGATATTTCTTTTAAAAGTGTGGTTTGATTTTAGTTTCATGTTTCCATTACCTCTTACCTCTTGATCTTTTTCTGTTTTTCTTTCTAGAGCCTCAAATTCATCCAAATCATTCTTTTCTTTTAATTTCAATTCCATTTCTGCATTTTCTCTTCTTAGTTGTTCATAGTCTAATACCAGATTATCATAGTTAGCACGAAGTGCATTCAACTCACTTTCTAAATTTTCCTATTGTAAACAAAACCAGAGTTTCAAGTCAGAATTCAATTACATATTGTTTCCTTAACTAAAATTTGGATTTATTCAATAATTAATTTAATCCTGAGTCATTTGGTAGTTTAGGCCGTTCTCATCTTCATTGTCTTTTTAATGCTCTAGCTTGATCCAGAGTAAAATAAAGATTGTTCATTTTGGTAAGCTAGCTAACTTAGAATAGAAGACTATTTTGAAAGGACTAGAAAAAAAAATCACATAAGCAGATGTTCTGTCTCTGCCTGACTAGAAAAGTTGTCAGGAGTTGGCAGTAGCAGAGGCAGGGCGCATACTGCAAAGTCCTTCTGAACACAGATCCATAAGCTCCTTAGCAATAAAACTCATAATTTAATTCTCCACCTGTCTGACTGCTGTTTTATTTCTCAGATGGCTCTGAATTTACGAAGAACAGAAGTATTATTTTTTTGACTTCTTAAACTCTAATGGCTGCTAACATTTTACCATACTTAAAAGGGGCTTGTTTCTGCATTGTACACTATTATGAGAAAAGAGATAAGCTATGAGTTAAAAAACTAACACTAGGGGTTTTCTAAAACCAACAAACTTCTAGAGACATGAAAGTACTTTACCTATAATATTTAACTAATTATAATAATTATAATAGTTAACTAATTTAATTCCAAAAAATCACTGCAAAATTAAAATGAAATTTTAATTCCAGAATTAAAATGAAATTTTCCTTAACAAATACATTTTTAAAACTACATTTCTTAAACCTTAGCAGCCTAGAAAGGAAACACTGGATATCTATTTACTAAAGTATTCATTATATTTATTTCTTAAAGATTTTGTTAAGACCATATTTAATACATTTACTTTTATTTTTCAGTATTATTTGGTAATATTACCCCTCCCTGATCGATCATTCATCTACTATATGCTGGAGAATTCTGACACTTTTAAAATTGGCTCTTTTTTACCCTCGTGGAATTGCTTGGGGCAAAACAGAGAAACTTAAAAAAAAAAAATCACAGATACAAGATTTGTTGTTGGTAAAGAGCCAGAAGCAAAGGTTTACCTATTATTATCATACACCTGCTTTATGAAATTTTTAGGCACCCTCTTGGATGCTGCAGTTATCAACTAGGAGTAGAACAAGTAGGGGAAGCCTTAATTAGAACCAAAACTGCAACTGAAGTAGTCACAGCTAGTGGTGTGATTGCTACAACAGTAAACACATAACAATTAAACAGTAAACAGTAAACAAATTCATTTAAAGAGAGATTAAAGGATAATGTTCTGCAAAATACATTTAATTTACCTGACTTAGTAGCTTTGTTGCTGGATTCCACTCTATCTCAGTTAACGTATCAAGAGTATTACTGAAAACATCAGACTCTGAACAGAGAGCTATAGTTAGAGGAAAAAGAAATTTATCTGTAAACATGTTAACAAAGTTTCCTAAAATGCTCCTAAAAAAATACTTATAATGTTGGAGACATAGTTTTGAAAGATTCCTGTATAAATGCCACCCTTTCAAGGTTAGCAATGGTTAAGGCAGATGCTATGTGAATACTAACTTAACTGGATAACAATTAGAACTCATGTGCTTCACTCACAGTGCATCATTCTTGAGATATGGAAAGAATAGAGAACTTCATGAAAGCTCACTTTCTTGAATTTACTTATTTTTAGCATCTCCATTGTAATCACATCTAACATACATTTTACTAAATGTGTTTATTACATTAACTGAGTTATAAATAACATCTCTCTTTAAGGGATGCTTTTATAATTAACAGGAATTGAAACAGCACTCACATTCATCAATTTCTCCTACTGTCTTATGCATTTTTGTTGTTATATTCGAGGGTACATCAAATTCATTTACATAGTTTGAGTTTTTCATTTTGTTAACTTTGCCAGGGCACCAAGTGACTCTTCGTTTTCTTTTGGCCTAAAGAGGAAAAAAATCCAAAGTATTTCATGTAGATCTGGGGTCAAACATTATAAAACAAGGGAACTAGTTTCCATTTTTTAAAACCACTGACTTGATAGAATTCCTATTAAACCTAGTTTAATTTGGTGTTATACAGAGCAGCTGTCACCACCATAGCTACCAAAATAGAGGTTGGCCAGCCCCAAGTGGGAAGGAACAGACAGGCGGCAGAATCCCAGATAGCCCATCCGAGTTTCCTTCAGCAAGTAAAGCTTCTTTCGTGGGGCCCTTCACAATGCCAATCCCCTTCAGCAGAGTGAAGCTGATGCCCCCCCCGCTGTGCTCCTTCCTCTGCTGGGGCCTTGCTCCCTCAGTCACCTGTTCATGTCACCTTCACTAGCTCTCTCCCCTCAGCTTTACTCAGCTCAAGCCTGTTTCCTTTTGATTTATTTATTTTGATTAGATTTTTTTATTTTGTTATCATTAATATACAATTACATGAGCAACACTGTGGTTACTAGATTCCTCCCATTATCAAGTCCCCACCACATACCCCATTACAGTCACTGTCCATCAGCGTAGTAAGATGCTGTACAGTCACTACTTGTCTTCTCTGTGCAATACAGCCTTCCCCATGCCCCCCCTACATTATGTGTGCTAATCGTATTGCCTCTTATCCCTCCCTTCCCACCGACCCTCCCCAGTCCCTTTCCCTCTGGTAACTGTCAGACCATTCTTGGGTTCTGTGATTCTGCTGCTGTTTTGTTCCTTCAGTTTTTGCTTTGTTTTTTATACTCCACAGATGAGTGAAATCATTTGGTATTTGTTTTTCTCCACTTGGCTTATTTCACTGAGCATAATACCCTCTAGCTCCATCCATGTTGTTGCAAATGGATTTGTTTTCTTATGGCTGAATAATATTCCATTGTGTATATGTACCGCCTCTTCTTTATCCATTCATTTACTGATGGACACTTAGGTTGCTTCCATTTCTTGGCTATTGTAAATAGTGCTGTGATAAACATGGGGGTGCATATGTCTTTTTCAAACTGGGCTCCTGCATTCTTAGGATAAATTCCTAGGTGTAATTCTTGGGTCAAATGGTATTTCTATTTTTAGTTTTTTGAGGAACCTCCATACTGCTTTCCACAATGGTTGAACTAGTTTACACTCCCACCAGCAGTGTAGGAGGGTTCCTCTTTCTCCACATCCTCGCCAGCATTTGTTGTTGTTTGTCTTTTGGATGATGGTCATCCTAACTGGTGTGAGGTAATATCTCATTGTGGTTTTAATTTGTATTTCTCTGATGATTAGCAATGTGGAGCATCTTTTCATGGGTCTGTTGGCCATCTGAATTTCTTCTCTGGAGAAGTGTCTGTTCAGATCCTCTGCCCATTTTTTAATTGGATTATTTGTTTTTTGTTTGTTGAGGTATGTGAACTCATTGTATATTTGGATGTCAACCCTTATCGAATGTCATTTATTAATACATTCTTCCATACTGTAGAATGCCTTTTTGTTCTACTGATCATGTCTTTTGTTGTATCCTTTTGAGTTTTTTCAAACAAACTCTTGACTCCTTGCTTCTCTGTAGCTACCATTTTCTTTTTGTTTTTATATTGCTATCTCTCTCACCATGTACTCCTTCTTCATCCCTTCAGAGACGCTAATCTCCTGACTCTGATTCCACCCAGCCAGCTGTCCTCATCTCTAACTCTGCTTTGCTGGCTTCTCTTCCTCTGCTTGTGTTTTTCCATTTCATAGCTACGATTTGTCTCTTGCCCCTCTACCAGGTTGAAGCATTATCTCATCTATTTGATCCCCTCTACAATCCTATTACTACATCCTTTTTATAGACAAGCTGATCTATAAAGGATTCTTCTTATATCTGAGGCTAACTCCTTCTGCTATATTCAAGATCCCATCCCTTTGGGTCATCTCAATCCACTGCAAGGCAGCTTTTCACTCCCACCACATAATCCAAATTGCTTTAGTAAATGAGCTTCTTGTTTCTAAATCCAAAGAATTTTTGTCTATATTCATCTTATTTAACTTCTTAGCAGAATGTGACAGCGCTGACCACTACCTCTTGGAAACATTCCCTTCCCTTAGTTATCACATTCATCTGGTTTCTTCTTAACTTGAGAGCTAAACCTGGGCTCCTTTAGGAATTCTCTCCTGCCCTTTACCTGAAAAGTTGTTCTTGGGGTTTTGTTTTTGGCCCTCTATTCTTTTCATTCTCAGTATGTTCCCAGAGCAAGATCACCCATTCCCATGACTTTATTTTGGATCTCTAGTAGTTAGTGTCCAAACTGCTATCTCCATCTCAGATCTTTCACCTGATTTTCATATATTAGCATTTTTAACTGCATGACACCTTAAACTGGCAATGTCCCAAATGAAACCCCGAGCAGCTCCACTGCCCTTCATTAAGTGTCCCTCAGCTCAGTGAACACTGCTGCCAGCGGCCAGGCAAACCTAGCAATGCTTGCAAGTCGTTCTGGATATCTCCATTTCCCCTTTTGTGCCCCTCCTACCCCACATCTAAACAAGCAGACTCCTGTGAGTCTACATCCCAAATATGTCTCCAGTTTTTTCCAATTTTTTTCCATCTCCAGAGCCACAATCTGTAGAGACCCAATCAAGTTGATCACAGAGTAGCTACACCTTTTTTTAAAATGCAATTCCAATCATGTGTATACAAGGTTTTCCTTGTCTTTAGCATAATGCAGTGTTCAAATCTTTCACTGTGGTTTAAAATGCCCCTGCCTCTTTAACATTTTTAATCCAAGGAATATACTGTATTGTTTTTTCACAACTCCAAGCTTTTGTGCATGTAGATCTCTTGCTGAAACACTTCTCTATACCTTCCCTTGGCCTATTTCCCTACTGGGCTATCTCCTACTCATCACTCAGTCAGCAAATAGTTCTTAAGTGTCTTCTGCATACTTAGTATGGTGACTTGAACATTATGTCTTAATAGCATACATTTTGAGGATTTTCTATGCAGAAAGTATACTGTTATGCACATTCTATGTATTATTTCACTTAATTCACACAACAATCCTATGAGGTGGGGGATCAAGCTATCCCACAGATAAGGACACAGTAGCAAAGTGTATTTAAGAAATTGTCCACGGTCAAGAATTAGGAAATGACAGAACCAGGATTCAAATCCTGGAACAATAAAGCTCCAGAGGCCATTCTATTAACCATGATACACCATCATACCCAAAAAATATGTGTTGGATTAAAAAAACCCGACTCTAGTGAAAATAAAAAGCATACAAACTGAAAGCCAGAATTTTGATCACTATGTTGATTTATATTTCTGATCAATTTTCCAGAGATTAATAATTCTTTCTCTTCCTTTAAATAGAAGATATTCCCACACAGACTAAGTATCTGTGGTTCCCAATCACCTAATCAATTTCATTAGAGTATCTTAAGAAGCATATTGCAAATACATTCCTTGACTATATTCTATACTTCTTGAATTAGTATCTCTTCATGTGGGAATCAGAGACCTGTATTTTTAATGAACTTCTTAGGTGTTGTTGACATATAGGCAAACACACAAACTGTTCTGGGTTTCTTGAATATATTATACCAAAGCATTAGAAATGTATAACTATAAAAGAAAATCATATAAGAATATTAATTCTATTCTCTTTATATTAAGTTTAGGCTATTATCTTTAAAATTTTACCTTTAATTCCTGTTGTGATGTGAGGGAAGAAGATGTCACCAGCATCCGTGTCAAGTTTTGAATTTTCTCAATCTGTACTTTTTGAAGCAAATCTTTTTCTTCCAAAAGTTGGGCCAACTGGTCTTTTTCCATTGCCTGGGCCCGAGTCTCTAAAGAAACCTGTAGAATGTAATATTAAATTTGAACATGAACTATGAGAATTTAAATTTTATTGGTGTCCCTGCAGAACACCAATATGCAGTTACCATAATCAATGTCTTAAACTTATAATGAGAATACATTTATTCTCATGTCACTATTCTATGTGCCACATAAGAGTATAGCAGTGCTGTTGAAGCAATTCTGTTAATTGTCTAAAAATACATATATGCACAGGAAGTCATAAAAGCAGACTCGAATACTACAGCAAAGGAAGAGGTATTCTCATAAGACTACCACTTGATATTTTAGCTCATTTTTAAAAAGATTAATAAAATGTAAGAGGCTCATGATAGTTAAAACAGATTACAATGACAAGTAATTATGCAATCTTATTAGATTGCTACCTTAGGGTCAGACGAGGAATTCAAGACAATGTGAAAATACAGAAGGTGGTTTTAGGTAACTATACATGGTCTTACTTTTTAACCTAAGTCCCTATGTATTTGTGACAATTTTTAAAAAGTATCTCTACTAGGCCCATTTGAAAATCTCAAATTTTTCCCTTTGGAAATGAAAAAAGATCTAAAATAATTTCAAGAAACCAAATCTTTCAGTTTACAGTTAATTAAAATAACACTTCTATGAGTAGATTTCTTCTTCATTGAAAACTTTAAAATTTAGGTTGTAGAACTCAGCTACTGATGAATTAAGAGTAGCTGGGCATTTGGGCAGATCTCAATTCTAAACCTGTTCCTTTTTTTTACTGAAATACATGATTCACACATACCTCCTCTAATTGTTTTTTAAGATCCGTTATTTCTTTCCTATACCTTTTCAGGAGAGCTTCATCACTTGATACCTCATTAACATAAGGAGTATTCTTCATATATTTAGCAGTGCTGGCAAACTGGGAAAAAATACAAGTGTTAAGTGTTCAACATTAAAAAAATTGAATAATATTTAGGTTTCTTATAATGAATTCTTGAAGAAAAATCAGTATTCTTCCCAGGTAGTTTAATACTTTTGAACACAGTGAACATTCTATGTCTAACTTACCCTGGCTGCTAGTCTTCAGGGCAAAGAAATATCTCAAAGACAGGGGTCATCAAAGAACCTACACACACAGGCTTACTGGAATTCCACCTATGCCTCTAAGTCCAGTACAAATTCTCCCGCTACTCTGAAGCTTTGCCTCCAGTCAAGAGCATTGCTCCTTCCTTCAAGCTCTATCCTACTCACGAGCTGTTAATAGAAGACAATCATGTTGGAAGACAGGACTATTTTCCCTATAAAACCATAAATTCTGTGAAGTCAGGAATTCTATTTTCTATCTTTGTTTCTCTCACTGTACCTTGGGTCCAGTGCTCAGTAGCTATTTAAAAATGTTTCTTAAGAGTGTGAACATCAGAAGTAAATTTAAGTGGGTCTATGAAGGTGCCCATTAAATAACACTGAATCCTTCACTTAGTTATTACACTGACATTTCTCCTTTTAAAAAAACAAACAAACCCCAGAAAATGAAGTCCTTAGGCTGAAAGCAAGGGCAGGCACAATCAGCTAGGAGGAATTAAAGAATTTTCTTGTTAAAAACAATACACACACACATACACACACACAAACACTTTTTTGGTTACCTTCTATTTTTTGCAAGTGATACTAGTTTTCTATTTATGGAACTGATTTGATGTTTCCTTTTACAATAAATTAAGTAAAAAAGGTGAGTTATTTAAAGAAAAATATCAAGTCAATTTCAGTAATAGTGTTGGATACAGCACGAGATGGGATGTGAATGATTGAAACAATTAAGGAATGCTATTTAGTAGACAACACATCAACTAAAAAAACTATCTAATTTCAGGACGTCATTTTTTTCTTTTGAAAGGTGATTTCCCTCCATATTAAGCTAAGATAAAAATCAAACTCACCTGCAGAGTAGTAAGAGTTTCATCAAAAGACACTGGAGTAATTGTGCAGATAATACGGGTTTTTGCATTTCCTCCCAATGAATTCTGAAGAATTCGTGTTAATTTGCTATCTCGATAATTTATGAAACCACTTAGTGATAAATGAGTTTGGGAAGAAAAAGAGTAAGAATTTTTACATAACAAAACTGGTTGGTTTTAAATGCAGAACCTTAAATTAGCTACAATTTTAAAAATTAATTCTTTACAGGTTACATGAGAGATCAAAACTGAAAAATTTCTTAAATACAAAAGTAAATTTAGTAGGTCACAGCCATATGTTTAAGAAGCTATGCATGCTCACAGAATCACAAAAGCTCTTGAATATATGGAAGAAATTAGTAGTTATTTGAGTGTTACTGAAAAATTACAACTTTCAACCTAATGAAAAACATAAGCATTAATAGGTAAATGTACAATGGGATAAACTTACCCAACTTGTTCATCACTAAGTTTCTTGATCACTTGTCCCAATATAAATAAGCTTCGATTTATATTACAGCCTTCTTTAAGCCGCATACCTGCATTTATTAAACAAATATGGAAACTAAAACTGACTCTTGTTATTAGGTGATGAACTTATGTATCAGTAAGTTACAAGAGATATTAGAAGTTAAAGGGTCAGATGCTAAAGTCTATGCTTTAGATTAGATCTGAGCCCATCTTTAATACCACTGGTAGAAGGAGCTCTCTCCCTACTTCTCCCACCTGTTCTATGAGCCAAGTGAATCAGAAAGTTTATCACCTGAAATAGCAAAAAAGAGAAAGATAACTAAGAGGAAGAGGAAGAGTCTGTTTTTTGAAAAAGCCCCTCTCAGTTCAAATTCATTTTTTCTAACCTCCAAAAATAGGCAACTATAGATTTACAACAAAATTAATTCCTATAATCTCACAAGCAAAAAGTTCTTATCTTTACATTGTTACCATGCTCACATGGCTTAATCAAAAAAAAAAATACATGGGAAAAGCTCTCCTATTTTTTATGCTCCATTCAACCAGCTCTTGTCCTACAAGGAAACCACTTTTATTAGTTTATTCTTCTTGAGTTTTAGAAATACAAGTCCACATAAATACATGTGTGTGTGTGCATACATATTCATCTATTCCTTTTACACAAATAACATACCATACACACTATTTTGCACTTTGCTTTTTTTTCACTTGGCAATTTGTTATATATCATATCTTTTTCATTGTTTTCTGTAGCAAAGAATTCCATTGTATGGATATATCAGAATTTATTTACCCAGCACTCTGTTGAGGGATAGGTAGGTTTTCAATCTATTGCACCAAATAATTTTGAACAGCTGTTTTCATAGGTGTATTATCCAGCTACTGCTGTCATTTGGCTGCTTAACAATAAGCATTTATTTCTTGTTCACAGGTGTGAGGACTCACTGGTTCAGTGGGTACAGGCCATGCTCAGCTGAGTGTCTATGTCAGGCTACAGGAAATTAACACAAGGAGGCTTGACATCTTGTGAGTTTGAACCTTCCCACTGAAGTGTGCTTTTCCATTTGTTTAAATATTTGGTTGTGTCCTTTAGGTCTGTTTTAAAGTTTTGCTTTTGTCTTGTATAATTTTCGTTGAATTCCTTCCTAGGTATTATATTTTTTAAGTCATTAGTGAAAATGGAGTCTTTTTGTACACAAAATATTCAAATTGGTTGTTGTTTATATTATGAGTTATTCATGTCTGCATATTAATTTTGGACCCCACTGCCTTTCCTCACTGATTATGAAAATGTAGGTGGTTTCCACAGTTTTTTAATGTTGCCATAGGAGCTGAAAGTGGATAATTAGCCAGACGCAGAAGCTGCTTTTTGTACTAAAGACTTTAATCACAGAACTATCATCAATACTCTAGGGGTTTCTATGCATGGTGGCACTTTTCATTCTGTAAAAGAACAGGAAGACATTCAAACCAACGTATTCCATGAGTTTTCATTACCTTCAGCGCCAGTTTGAGCAGCTCTTTCACTGCCTGCAAGATCAACCAAATTCTGTAGGAGAGGCAGGAATAACCTTTAGGAAGGTTAACTTGAAATAATAAAAGCCAAACTACTGAGAATACATTTTTAACACATGGTTTATCTGAATAATGTGTGTGTATGCTTTTCTCTCACCCTACTGGTTAGGCCTTCCCTTTCCTGAATCAAACTCATATCTATACCTTATTCTTTCTTTGTCATGTATCTTCCATAATGTGGCAAGAATAAGTTCTCCACATCCTACACCAAATTCAAAATTGTACAGGATGGGGATCCTGTTCTTCATCACCTGGCACTGGTGCTGCTCCAGCCTTATGTCTACACATTACGTGCTCTGACCTCTGGCTGAAGTACTCACCATGCCCTCACCCTTATGTACGTCTGCGGTGCTAGCCGCCACCTTTGCCATTCTCATTTTTTAGTTAGTTCAAATGTTCCAGTCCACCCCTCTCTTTATTCAGGACAAAAGGCAAATGTTACCTTCTCAGAGTAGTTCTGCCAATTTTATCCTTTCTCTCCCACACCTTGAATGAACTGCTCTTTCAACTGTGCACCCAGAAATTTTCATATTTAAGATTATTGTGTTGAGTTAGTCATTTGTGTCTCTGAATAGACTGAGCCTGGACCCCTGTGACTGCTTGTCTTGCTCCAAGCAGTGTTAGATGATTGGGATATGGCAGTGAACCAGACAAATAAGGTCCCTGCTCTCATCCAGCTTGTATTCTTCAGGGCATGGGATGAGGAGAGGATGAAGTTGGTGGAGAGAAAAAGACAACCAGATAAGAAACAGATGATGGTAGGTGTAATACAGATAATTTATGGAGTCCTAGAAGAGGGAAGAGGAAGGCACAGAGCAGGTTATTTGGGTTGGGTGGAGGGGAAGGCCTTCCATTAAGTGAGGATTTGGAATGACAGAGAAGAGACAGCCAGCCATGCAAAGACTTGGGAACCATTTGCAGATAGAAAGAATGGCCAGTACACCCAGTCAGTCACAAAGCAGGAATGAGCTTGGTGTGTTCAAAAAATAAAAAGGACAGCATAGAGTTGGTAAGGTAAAGATGGAACATAACAGGATAAGAGAAGTAGTGGGGGTCACATTATATGGGGTTTTGTAAGCAAGGGTAAGAACCCTGAATTTTCAAAATAAAATGAGAAGCCATTAGAGGACTTTAAGCTAGAGAGTGACATACCGTGATTCAACTTTTGAAAAAATCAACTGTGGCCCCTGTGTGAAGAAAGGAGTAGAGAGGGGCAAGAGTGACAGCAGAAGCCCAGAAGGGAGGCGAGAGATGGCGGCAGCTTGGGCAAGGGATAGAGCAGTGGAGAGACCAAGCAGTGGAGTGGATGTACAACCAGTACTGTGCTCAGAACTTGCTAACAGCTCTATAAATATTCTCAGTGCATTGACACACAGTCAGAGATTTAAATTGTTTCTCTCCGTGGAGACTTTCAGAAATGGGCAGGTAACTACATACACCTTTACAATCCTATCTCAGATAATTCTTTCTCTAAAATATAGTTAATGTCTGATCTTTCCTATATAGTATTTACTACAGATGACCTAGATATATAGTAAGAGGGCAAAGTGGTGATGAAGACAGCATGAATTAAGATATAAAGGCGTGAACAAGTCCTAGTGTTCAAAGAGTAAGAGGCCCAATCTATCCATAAGAGAGGAGCTCACATGGAGTAGAAAGAAGTAAAGCTAAGATTGGTTAACAGCAGCCAGATCTTGTCCAAGGAAGTGATACAACAAAAGCAGAGCTTGGTAACACTAGAAATCTGCATAACAGACTGAAGAGAGGAAGACCAGCACCAAGGAAGTGTTGGGGAATGTTCTCGAAGAGAAGCAGCCCCCAGTGGACCTGGGAGCTGGACCCCGGCAACCAGAGGCTCCTCACCCTACCCCCTATCCTTAGAATGTGGGTTCTGCCTGCTTTCCCCACTCCCAGAGACTGCCTCAAGGATATAACCTGGAGGTAGTGATGTGGTTTTGAGACCATCTGGACTGTATAGGTGACTGAACCCAGTAAGGGCTTCTATAAAACTTAGAATTTGGTAGGTGGGTGAGATCTACTTGTCCTATGGCTGCCCAAGACAAGCCTCACATGTAAGTTCCCTTGCTTATGAAACCTGCACCGACCAACCTGGAGTGGCCTGCCTCCTTCTTTGCCCTCTCCCTGCCCTCCATGTATGGAATAGGTTTCAGAGTACATCTGGAAGTTCCTAAGTTAAAGACCAATAGGAGGCCAGGTCCACAATGATACAGTACTTTAAGAGAGATGAGACCCTACAGGAGCCTGACAGTCTTGAGAATGCTGAAAGGCAGGGTCACTAACAAATGGCGATGACCAGACAAAAGGGAAGGCGGATGATGGTGAGTGAGACTGACTGGGGTTCAGCTCCAGTGAACAGGACGACACTGGTACTACTGGAATAAAGGAATGCTCACTATGACAGGAAGAAACCAATTCGACTTTAAACATACTGAAGTTTGAGATAGCAGAGGGACATAGAATTATAATACTCTTAGGAAAACATAAATCACAACTGAGAGATTTTAGATAAATACTTGGCCATCAACACAGAAATAACAGAATGTCTGAGGGCAAGCATGGGAGGTAAGGCCACAGAACTCTCCTGTGTTTTTGTTAAAAGTGTAGGAGAAAAGATGCCACAGAAGGAATAGAGAAGGAATAGAGCTAAGAGAACCTAGATATTTTTATCTCCAATGAGCCAGAAAATGACTTCTTTGGAAAGACATCTTTCTAAGAAGATATTGAGAGTTAAGTGGGAAGGCTGGAGGGTTGGACCAGATGGTATCTATGGTCCCTAGATGATAAAGCATTGAAGAATGAGAAAAGTCACCACCTAATGGGTCACTGAATATGTCAAGAGTATTAAGAGAAACATTAAAATTGTAGGGAACTATAGCAGGTTTGGAACACAAACGGAAATTAAGTTTTGTGTTTTTGTTGTTAAAGCAAGACTGGTCTTGCTAAGTTCATCATTTAGCAAGAATGAACTAAGATAAATTTCATTCTTGTACAGTAGAAAAACTGAAGCGAGCTAGAATTAGATACTTAGTTAAGACTCTTGTTTTTCAAAATCTAAGTGAATTCACTTATTAGAGATTTAATACATTTTTCCTTGCAGTTTTCAAATCAAATAGAGTAATCTTAAGTCATATCCCACATAAAGCTAAGAATTTAGGCCCTGAAGACAGAGAATAAATTAACAATAGTAAGCAATAGGAAGGAAGCATGAAAAAAAGAGACAGAAATTATACAGTGCAGTGAGAAGAAAATGGAAGCTTTACTTATGTGGAAAAAAGGAATGTTTGCATAATACTTATGTTCACTTATTCAACCAATAGGTACTGAATACTAAGTAAGTACAATGTATTAGGGCTATAACCAGGAATGAGGTAGCACTCTTCCCTTCAAGGGATTTACAATCTAAAACAATGTGTTTATAATATAAAATATATGTTCTTATTGTACTTAAGAATGAACTTGAATATGAATTTTTTAACCATCTCACCTAGGTTTTTATTGACCTCACAAGTCTCAATTCTATTGTCTGAGACTAAGGAAAAAAAAAAACCCAAATTCAAGATTACTTTAACTCTTAAACATGTATGGAAACTTCCCTCCTCTACCCCTTCCCCAAACCCCCCACAAAAAACTGTCATTCATTACTGGTTAGGAAAAGCCTCAAATCTAAAGTTTAGGAGCTGGCAGCCAGAACAGAACAGGAATCTTCCTACATTTCAGCTAGTAATCTCATGCTACTAACAAGACTAGTTAAGCTACCAATTTTAGATGCTTTTGCCTATTTAGTTCACTTAACGGTTCTTTCAAAACCAAATATTCAGCAGCCAAATTAAATTTTGCTTTGGCTCACATGGTACATTATCACAGTTCATCAATACTCACCAAATGGGACACCTTGACAGATCCTTCACAATTAGAAGGTTCACCTTTCTCTCTACTTTCCAAAATCTGGACAAAAAAGGCAACTTGTTGAAAAATTAGTGCATTCTTAATTGGAAAAAACAAATAGAGAATTACCTACCATCCTAAAAATGGTATGAGAACGACTGCTTCTTTGATTCATTTTTGTAATTCCATAATGTCTGTTCTCTGTAAAAAAAAAGTCAATTTTAGCTGTATACAGTAAAATCCAAACAAAAACATTCTTTCATTTTAGCTTAAAAGTGCAAAGTGTGATTTGAAGCCTAAATACATTCAACTGAATGTTTTTTTATGAGCGTTTTAAAGAAATACAGTATACAGTCTTACTTTCTCCCTTTGTGATCCACTTCAAAACCATTTCGGATGTATAAACAACTTCTTCTGTGAGATCAGCCACATACACATTCCTCTGAAACAAGTTTAATTATGGGAAGGATAGAGAATTAGAAGTCACCTTAAGTTTGAATCTCAAAAAGAAGGTGCAAACTATTACAGAATATTCATTTGTGAAAGTTATAAGTGGAAAATGGAGACTATTATTCTATATGAAAATAGCAAGTAACCTATGTATGATATTTACAATTTAATTCTTATACCAAAGCACATCAAATTCTAACTGATGCCCTCATCTTGCTCTTTTTAGGCACTTACACCAAAATGTTACAACTGTCAATACTTAAAAACTTCACATGTCACTTAAAAGATGATCTCTACAAGCACTCAAGAAAATAAAAACAAACCATAGAAATAGGAGACACTTTAAAAATACAGAAATTAAAGGTAAATGTTTAATAATAACCCCAGTAAGTTTAAGAGAGGAGCTCACATGGAGTAGAAAGAAGTAAAGCTAAGATTGGTTAACAGCAGCCAGATCTTGTCCAAGGAAGTGATACAACAAAAGCAGAGCTTGGTAACACTAGAAATCTGCATAACAGACTGAAGAGAGGAAGACCAGCACCAAGGAAGTGTTGGGGAATGTTCTCGAAGAGAAGCAGCCCCCAGTGGACCTGGGAGCTGGACCCCGGCAACCAGAGGCTCCTCACCCTACCCCCTATCCTTAGAATGTGGGTTCTGCCTGCTTTCCCCACTCCCAGAGACTGCCTCAAGGATATAACCTGGAGGTAGTGATGTGGTTTTGAGACCATCTGGACTGTATAGGTGACTGAACCCAGTAAGGGCTTCTATAAAACTTAGAATTTGGTAGGTGGGTGAGATCTACTTGTCCTATGGCTGCCCAAGACAAGCCTCACATGTAAGTTCCCTTGCTTATGAAACCTGCACCGACCAACCTGGAGTGGCCTGCCTCCTTCTTTGCCCTCTCCCTGCCCTCCATGTATGGAATAGGTTTCAGAGTACATCTGGAAGTTCCTAAGTTAAAGACCAATAGGAGGCCAGGTCCACAATGATACAGTACTTTAAGAGAGATGAGACCCTACAGGAGCCTGACAGTCTTGAGAATGCTGAAAGGCAGGGTCACTAACAAATGGCGATGACCAGACAAAAGGGAAGGCGGATGATGGTGAGTGAGACTGACTGGGGTTCAGCTCCAGTGAACAGGACGACACTGGTACTACTGGAATAAAGGAATGCTCACTATGACAGGAAGAAACCAATTCGACTTTAAACATACTGAAGTTTGAGATAGCAGAGGGACATAGAATTATAATACTCTTAGGAAAACATAAATCACAACTGAGAGATTTTAGATAAATACTTGGCCATCAACACAGAAATAACAGAATGTCTGAGGGCAAGCATGGGAGGTAAGGCCACAGAACTCTCCTGTGTTTTTGTTAAAAGTGTAGGAGAAAAGATGCCACAGAAGGAATAGAGAAGGAATAGAGCTAAGAGAACCTAGATATTTTTATCTCCAATGAGCCAGAAAATGACTTCTTTGGAAAGACATCTTTCTAAGAAGATATTGAGAGTTAAGTGGGAAGGCTGGAGGGTTGGACCAGATGGTATCTATGGTCCCTAGATGATAAAGCATTGAAGAATGAGAAAAGTCACCACCTCATGGGTCACTGAATATGTCAAGAGTATTAAGAGAAACATTAAAATTGTAGGGAACTATAGCAGGTTTGGAACACAAACGGAAATTAAGTTTTGTGTTTTTGTTGTTAAAGCAAGACTGGTCTTGCTAAGTTCATCATTTAGCAAGAATGAACTAAGATAAATTTCATTCTTGTACAGTAGAAAAACTGAAGCGAGCTAGAATTAGATACTTAGTTAAGACTCTTGTTTTTCAAAATCTAAGTGAATTCACTTATTAGAGATTTAATACATTTTTCCTTGCAGTTTTCAAATCAAATAGAGTAATCTTAAGTCATATCCCACATAAAGCTAAGAATTTAGGCCCTGAAGACAGAGAATAAATTAACAATAGTAAGCAATAGGAAGGAAGCATGAAAAAAAGAGACAGAAATTATACAGTGCAGTGAGAAGAAAATGGAAGCTTTACTTATGTGGAAAAAAGGAATGTTTGCATAATACTTATGTTCACTTATTCAACCAATAGGTACTGAATACTAAGTAAGTACAATGTATTAGGGCTATAACCAGGAATGAGGTAGCACTCTTCCCTTCAAGGGATTTACAATCTAAAACAATGTGTTTATAATATAAAATATATGTTCTTATTGTACTTAAGAATGAACTTGAATATGAATTTTTTAACCATCTCACCTAGGTTTTTATTGACCTCACAAGTCTCAATTCTATTGTCTGAGACTAAGGAAAAAAAAAAACCCAAATTCAAGATTACTTTAACTCTTAAACATGTATGGAAACTTCCCTCCTCTACCCCTTCCCCAAACCCCCCACAAAAAACTGTCATTCATTACTGGTTAGGAAAAGCCTCAAATCTAAAGTTTAGGAGCTGGCAGCCAGAACAGAACAGGAATCTTCCTACATTTCAGCTAGTAATCTCATGCTACTAACAAGACTAGTTAAGCTACCAATTTTAGATGCTTTTGCCTATTTAGTTCACTTAACGGTTCTTTCAAAACCAAATATTCAGCAGCCAAATTAAATTTTGCTTTGGCTCACATGGTACATTATCACAGTTCATCAATACTCACCAAATGGGACACCTTGACAGATCCTTCACAATTAGAAGGTTCACCTTTCTCTCTACTTTCCAAAATCTGGACAAAAAAGGCAACTTGTTGAAAAATTAGTGCATTCTTAATTGGAAAAAACAAATAGAGAATTACCTACCATCCTAAAAATGGTATGAGAACGACTGCTTCTTTGATTCATTTTTGTAATTCCATAATGTCTGTTCTCTGTAAAAAAAAAAGTCAATTTTAGCTGTATACAGTAAAATCCAAACAAAAACATTCTTTCATTTTAGCTTAAAAGTGCAAAGTGTGATTTGAAGCCTAAATACATTCAACTGAATGTTTTTTTATGAGCGTTTTAAAGAAATACAGTATACAGTCTTACTTTCTCCCTTTGTGATCCACTTCAAAACCATTTCGGATGTATAAACAACTTCTTCTGTGAGATCAGCCACATACACATTCCTCTGAAACAAGTTTAATTATGGGAAGGATAGAGAATTAGAAGTCACCTTAAGTTTGAATCTCAAAAAGAAGGTGCAAACTATTACAGAATATTCATTTGTGAAAGTTATAAGTGGAAAATGGAGACTATTATTCTATATGAAAATAGCAAGTAACCTATGTATGATATTTACAATTTAATTCTTATACCAAAGCACATCAAATTCTAACTGATGCCCTCATCTTGCTCTTTTTAGGCACTTACACCAAAATGTTACAACTGTCAATACTTAAAAACTTCACATGTCACTTAAAAGATGATCTCTACAAGCACTCAAGAAAATAAAAACAAACCATAGAAATAGGAGACACTTTAAAAATACAGAAATTAAAGGTAAATGTTTAATAATAACCCCAGTAAGTTAGTCTAGTTTTAGAGACACCTCAACTCTGTTACTCACATTGAAGTCTTCCCGAATTATTAAAGGCTTCATTTTTTGAGTGTCACAGAGTAAGTCTGTAATGGTTTCATTGTATATTTCCATGTAAGACACACGTAAGAGAAATTCCCTATCAGGAAACTAGAAGGAAAAATACACGTAAAAACATTAGAGATTATCCAATTATGAAAACCTAATACTGAATGTTATATATGAACATTAAATATTAAAATATCTCTTGAAAATTTATCTTTCTAAAATGAACAAAAAACAAAAAAAACCCCTATTATTCTATATTGACAAAAATAAACACAGTAAAATAAAAGCATTGTTTCTGAAACAATTAAAAGTATAGTATCATGGAATTAGGAGAGCACCCAGTCCAACTCTGAGCTCAAAATCAAACTCTACCAACAGATGTTCAAATAAGAACATTAAAAATCATTATAATAATGATGGAAAAACTAATTTAAAACCAACTTTTAACTAGTTAGGTTGCTATTCTGGACCTCTGTTTCTTTTTTTAATCTACATCTACTTTTTAACTTCTCCTTATTAATCACTGACAGATGAGTAAAGACAACAAGAAGCTAATCATTCTGATAAGATTTTCCTGTTCCTTATTGCCCACTTTTGGTGAGCAATTGCTAATTTCAGGATTCAAGGGAAAGAATGAAAGAGCTTTAAGCTCTACAAAGTAAGCTTGTGGAAAAAGTGAATCTATGCTGTGCCTTTCTTCTTTCCCCATGGGTGATGAAGAGATAACTGTACATCTGCATCCTTTGATCATAGAAGAGAACACAAAGATTGCTATCCTATGATTACAACTTTTACCTGTATGTACTAGAAATTTAATAAGTAATTCACCTTCTTAATTTTCTGGAAAATGTCATGAATTGCTCTGGGTATAACTCCCAAATAATCTTCTGAACCCATCATAGTGTATGTTTTTCCTGAAGCAGTCTGCCCATAGGCAAAAATAGTACCTGCAAAAATAAAACATACCCCCAGAGATTAAAAATTAATACACAGTTTGTAAAACTATCAATATTTGTTAAACAGACACCAAAGACTGAAAGGCTTCTGGAATGAATACAAACCATTGTAGCCTTGTATGGCAGAATCTATGATTGGTACTGCTATTTCTTCATACACATTTTTAGTAGTTTCATTACTATGAAAGACACGATCTGAAAAAAACAAAACACACACACAGAAGTTAAACCAAACAAATCAACTGTGTTTTCATTCCTAATTAGTAGTTGCCCAAAGAAAAATTATCAGGATATGGTATGATAAAATATTTAAGATAGTATTTTCAACTTATTTGTCTTCTAAAGACACACTTCTCTATAAGGTAAAATGTGTTGGTCCTGACATAGAAAAAATACAAGTCAACTATGCTATGTGCTCTCAAGAGGCAGTAGAGCGTAGTGGCCAAATACCGGGGTCTGGAATCAGGCTGCTTGCAAATCCTGGTTCTGCCACTTACAAGCTCTGGGACTTTGGGCAAGATGGTAATGTCTTTGGGCCTCAGTTCTCTATCTTCCTCATAGAATCATTGGGAGCATATGGTTAACACTTAGGAAATGTGAACTATTACTATTTGTGAAATTTTATTTTTATAACATATCTAGCAAGAAGGCCTAGCTCAAGATAAATCAAGAAATTGTAGACATTCGAAGAAAAGTACTGAACACAGCTGAGTGTTACTGTGAATGACCAGTTTGCTTGGCTGTTAAAAGGCTGGGTTTAAGGAGGCACTTGCACTGAGGAATTCCCTAGTCTAGGATATGGTTCTCTGCTTCTGTTAGCACCTTAAAAATGGACAACACTGTCAGGGGTGGTCTCACATTAAAAAAGCTCACAAGAAATGGATTTGTTTATCAGGAGGGAACTACACAGACCTACAATGAGAAGGTCAGTGATAACATTGCTTGTACCGCAACCACACATCTGTCCTGTCCACAGTACTATGCGAAAACTAAAGTGCCATCTGAAGGCTGTTTAGGAGGCATTTCAGAGCAAGGAGAGATGGCAGGATGATTTAAATCCTAATGCCATCTGCTTCAGACAGGTGAATGAGCCCCAATCCTCTATGGGCTTTTATGGTTACTGAGAACCTATAGCACTTGAGACTGAAAGCTTGTGTATTCCTTAGTCTTAGTTTTATAATCTTGGCAAAGACTGTTTTACCTTTTTAAAAATTAATACAATCAAATTGTCCTTTATCAGGAATCATCTTCCTACTGATAACACCTACCACACAGCCTTATTAGGAGGATTAGAAGAGTTAATATATATGAGGCACTTAGAACAGTGTCTGGCACATTGTCAGCACTACACACATCACACATGTTAAATCAATACCTTACTTTATAGCACTTTGCTTATTGCACTTCACAGATACTGTGTTTCTTACAAATAAGGTTTGTGGTAACCCTGTGTTAAGCAGGTCTACTGGTGCCATTTTTCCAGTAGCATTTGTTCACTTTGTATCTCTGTCACATTTTGGTAATTCTGACAATATTTAAAACTTTTTTAACATTATTATATTTGTTATCATGATCTGTCATCAGTAATTATGATTCACTAAAAGCTCAGATGATGGTTAGCATTTTTTAGCAATAAAGTTTTATTAAATTAAGGTAAATACATGTTTTTCTTAGACATAATGCTATTGCACACTCTATAGACCACAGTACAGCATAAACAACTTTCATATGTACTGGGAAACTAAAAAATTCATTTGACTTGTTTAATTGTGATATTTGCTTTATTGCAAGAGTCTGGAATTGAATCTGCCAGTATCTCCAAGGTATGCCTATATATACAAATCAGCCAGCCAGCCTTTAGGACCTTCAAGCCCTTTTGTCAGAGCTAGCTATCGCTCAGCCTGCAGTTCCCAGTATAAATGGTACCATTTCAGACATCCAGATTAGTCAGAAGCCCTGCTATCATCCCACAAAGCTTATGTCATCCTAAGTGTAATTACTTGTTTAAAGCCTTTCTACCCACCATATGACTAGTTTCACAAAAGCTGGGTTAGGTCTCTGCTGTATTAGAGCCGACAATGTAGGAATATCTTCACTATATATTCTTTAAAGAGTTTTCTTGAAAATAATTGTAGAAACAATATACTAAACTGAAAGATCTTAAAGATGACATTAAGCAGCATATTTTGGGCTTATGGAGTTTTAGGCCCTAAATACACTAATGAATAAGACAAAAAATGCTTATTTTAGTGATGACACTATGATTATAACCATATAAATATCAATTTATAATCTTACTTAGCCTAGATGATGGATGAACAACTTTTTAGTTTCCACTGAAGCAGTTAACAGAAGGCTTGATCTTTAATGACAAATACAGTATTAGTGATGAGGCTTTTGTACTCTTAATAGGAAAAGGATAACAGGTTAACATTTGATATGATTTTAAGCTTACCAAAATTGAAGGATTTACTCCCATCAACTTGATAAATAGCATTATTGTCAGTTTTCCAGTAAGCTTGAGTATCTTCTCCAAGAGCTTCTTCTCTAAAGGAATAAAAACACTGCATTTTATTATAACTGGTCATAGAAGTCATGTTATGTGAAAGATAATTTAAAAGATTTCATCTTGTAAAGAATATTTTAAAAGATGGTAATGATTTCTATCACATATAAGAAAAATGCGACCACCTTTGAGGGGTCAACACCTTCAAAAGGGGCTTCAGTGACTTGCCTTCTCAGGGAGTTTCCTTGCAAGCTCTTCACTCCCACCCTTCTACCTAGTCTTGAAAAGATACATTCAAAATGCAACTCTGAGTATGTCCCTCTTGTTTACAACCTTTAAAAACCATCTCGAGTCCTTAATATACCGCGACAGACCTGGATCGTGTTTATTTTTCTCTTTAGCCTTATTTTCTCCTGAATTCCTATATACCCCAAACTCCGTTATGTTATCAACTACCTGAAGGCCCCTCCCTAGATAACAGATTAAACCCTTCTGTCTGGAATACTCTGACTTACCTTTCCATTAAGTAGCTTAAAAGTGTCAGGAGTTTCCGGACAGCAGTCCTGCCCCTCCCCAAAACTGTCATCTCATTGAAGGGCTAATGACTCCTCTAAACAAACATTCCCTACCTGCCTAATCACAACACTTGCCAGGATGTATCGATGTATCGTAATGGTTTCTTTAAGCAGCTGTCTTCTTGTGCATTAATGAGTGCCTTAAAAAAGTAAATTTCTCATCTTGATATTTACTAAACCCCTAGTACTATTTAACAAATGCTTCTCAAACACAAAATATGTTAGCATCCTGGGGCCAGGACTGGAGACTAGACTTCATTTCTTTCCCTTCCTGCTTTGACTGTACAGCATTTATCCCTCCCGTATCGCCACTTAACATTCTATAGTTTTTATTTAGCTTACTCCCCTCCCAGAATGTTAAAGTTCACAGGTGAAAGATGGTAGTGTTCATTTAGAACAGTACACTGTAGTAGAAAAAAAATATATTGATAAATGTTATTCAACATTCTGAAATCTGAATTCGGCCATTTATAAAAAATCTTTGGTGTCGACTGAATACAATGCAACAAAACAGAGTAGTCCTTGCTCCCAAGGAGTATTAAGAGTAGAGAGACTTCAGTGTGAAACGACCAAGCGTGGGAAGTGCCAGTAAAGCTCTCCGGACCCGACTTCTCTAGGGAGTGGTTGGGGTGGGGTGCGGTGGGGAGGGGCGGTAGGCGCAGCTGGGGAAGGCAGCGCGGCGCAGCAGCTTCGGCCTGAACGCCGTGGGTCTGCGTTACAGACTTAGGAGAACCCCGCAGCTGGAAAGTATCTGCTAGGCCCTGCGATCCTTCCGCGTCCCTGTACAGCGAGGAACCGCGGCACGAAGCGGGCAAGAGGCCGCGTTCCTCGCAGCGGAGCGAGGCTGCAGCGCGACGGCTGCAGGGACCTGGGTGTGCGTCTAGCCCACCTACCTGCTGTTGAGCGGCCGGACCCGCACACACACCGCCACGGCCCTTTCCTCGGCCATCCTGCACGGCCGGAGCCCAGGGAACGGGCGAAGACTCCGCGGCGCCGCTTCCGAAGGCACTGGCCGCCCCGCCTTTAAGTTTAAAATTTCTCAAAGGCCGCGTCTGATTGAGCCACTGCCTCATGACGTCATGGGTCGTTCCACTTCCGTCGCGGCGCGGGGGTCGCGAGGCGGGCGGCGCGTCCACCAATGAAGGTGGAGGGGAGGTTTAAAGGGGAGAATTGGGTAGGATGTCTTTAATTGTGATATTTGCTTTATTGCAAGAGTCTGGAATTGAATCTGCCAGTATCTCCAAGGTATGCCTATATATACAAATCAGCCAGCCAGCCTTTAGGACCTTCAAGCCCTTTTGTCAGAGCTAGCTATCGCTCAGCCTGCAGTTCCCAGTATAAATGGTACCATTTCAGACATCCAGATTAGTCAGAAGCCCTGCTATCATCCCACAAAGCTTATGTCATCCTAAGTGTAATTACTTGTTTAAAGCCTTTCTACCCACCATATGACTAGTTTCACAAAAGCTGGGTTAGGTCTCTGCTGTATTAGAGCCGACAATGTAGGAATATCTTCACTATATATTCTTTAAAGAGTTTTCTTGAAAATAATTGTAGAAACAATATACTAAACTGAAAGATCTTAAAGATGACATTAAGCAGCATATTTTGGGCTTATGGAGTTTTAGGCCCTAAATACACTAATGAATAAGACAAAAAATGCTTATTTTAGTGATGACACTATGATTATAACCATATAAATATCAATTTATAATCTTACTTAGCCTAGATGATGGATGAACAACTTTTTAGTTTCCACTGAAGCAGTTAACAGAAGGCTTGATCTTTAATGACAAATACAGTATTAGTGATGAGGCTTTTGTACTCTTAATAGGAAAAGGATAACAGGTTAACATTTGATATGATTTTAAGCTTACCAAAATTGAAGGATTTACTCCCATCAACTTGATAAATAGCATTATTGTCAGTTTTCCAGTAAGCTTGAGTATCTTCTCCAAGAGCTTCTTCTCTAAAGGAATAAAAACACTGCATTTTATTATAACTGGTCATAGAAGTCATGTTATGTGAAAGATAATTTAAAATATTTCATCTTGTAAAGAATATTTTAAAAGATGGTAATGATTTCTATCACATATAAGAAAAATGCGACCACCTTTGAGGGGTCAACACCTTCAAAAGGGGCTTCAGTGACTTGCCTTCTCAGGGAGTTTCCTTGCAAGCTCTTCACTCCCACCCTTCTACCTAGTCTTGAAAGGATACATTCAAAATGCAACTCTGAGTATGTCCCTCTTGCTTACAACCTTTAAAAACCATCTCGAGTCCTTAATATACCGCGACAGACCTGGATCGTGTTTATTTTTCTCTTTAGCCTTATTTTCTCCTGAATTCCTATATACCCCAAACTCCGTTATGTTATCAACTACCTGAAGGCCCCTCCCTAGATAACAGATTAAACCCTTCTGTCTGGAATACTCTGACTTACCTTTCCATTAAGTAGCTTAAAAGTGTCAGGAGTTTCCGGACAGCAGCCCTGCCCCTCCCCAAAACTGTCATCTCATTGAAGGGCTAATGACTCCTCTAAACAAACATTCCCTACCTGCCTAATCACAACACTTGCCAGGATGTATCGATGTATCGTAATGGTTTCTTTAAGCAGCTGTCTTCTTGTGCATTAATGAGTGCCTTAAAAAAGTAAATTTCTCATCTTGATATTCTCATTTACTAAACCCCTAGTACTATTTAACAAATGCTTCTCAAACACAAAATATGTTAGCATCCTGGGGCCAGGACTGGAGACTAGACTTCATTTCTTTCCCTTCCTGCTTTGACTGTACAGCATTTATCCGTCCCGTATCGCCACTTAACATTCTATAGTTTTTATTTAGCTTACTCCCCTCCCAGAATGTTAAAGTTCACAGGTGAAAGATGGTAGTGTTCATTTAGAACAGTACACTGTAGTAGAAAAAAAATATATTGATGTTATTCAACATTCTGAAATCTGAATTCGGCCATTTATAAAAAATGTTTGGTGTCGACTGAATACAATGCAACAAAACAGAGTAGTCTTAAGGAGTATTAAGAGTAGAGAGACTTCAGTGTGAAACGACCAAGCGTGGGAAGTGCCAGTAAAGCTCTCCGGACCCGACTTCTCTAGGGAGTGGTTGGGGTGGGGTGCGGTGGGGAGGGGCGGTAGGCGCAGCTGGGGAAGGCAGCGCGGCGCAGCAGCTTCGGCCTGAACGCCGTGGGTCTGCGTTACAGACTTAGGAGAACCCCGCAGCTGGAAAGTATCTGCTAGGCCCTGCGATCCTTCCGCGTCCCTGTACAGCGAGGAACCGCGGCACGAAGCGGGCAAGAGGCCGCGTTCCTCGCAGCGGAGCGAGGCTGCAGCGCGACGGCTGCAGGGACCTGGGTGTGCGTCTAGCCCACCTACCTGCTGTTGAGCGGCCGGACCCGCACACACACCGCCACGGCCCTTTCCTCGGCCATCCTGCACGGCCGGAGCCCAGGGAACGGGCGAAGACTCCGCGGCGCCGCTTCCGAAGGCACTGGCCGCCCCGCCTTTAAGTTTAAAATTTCTCAAAGGCCGCGTCTGATTGAGCCACTGCCTCATGACGTCATGGGTCGTTCCACTTCCGTCGCGGCGCGGGGGTCGCGAGGCGGGCGGCGCGTCCACCAATGAAGGTGGAGGGGAGGTTTAAAGGGGAGAATTGGGTAGGATGTCGCGAAGAGGATCAGGGAAGCGCGCGGCCAGCGGCCCCCCGGGTGGTAATGAGACAGGGATCATGGATGTACTCAGAGTAGGGTAAGAGCCTCCGGAGGGGGCAGGACGGGATATTTGCAGTCAGAGCAATGTAACTACATGTAAGTAAACCCCCCTACTAAAACTCTATGTTAAACATTGAGCTCTGGAATAATTTTTCAGTGAGATCAGTTAATATTCCCCAGATGAAGAAGAGTAGCACATGTTTTATTATGCTAATCAAGGCCCAGGCCTGTGTGCTGTCTTTTCTCCTTCAGACCTGACAAGGTGATTTTGCAAACTGAGCAACTAACTTAGCATGCAGACCCAGCTATAAACGGCATAGTAAAGGGCAGGAAGAATTCCATCTTGAAGATAAAATTGCATTTTAACACCCAGGAAGTTCAAGAGGCAAGATTCTTTAGCAAGTAGACAATACCTCAACCCACCTTGGGGGCTGGTCAGGCAGCCTTTTGATATACTCCCAGACCAAGGCGCCGGTGTCCCAGAGAGAAATCAAGGCAGGAAATTCCTTACAGTTAATTTTTAATATTCAGGAACCACTTAACAAGTCCCCACCCCTAAGTTTTTTCATGTTCTCGAAATATCCTCAACTGCCTATAAAACTCCCTAGACCACGCACCAACGACGGACTCTCTTGTCCCCTCCTGGCGTGAGCCGGGAGCTCTGTCCTTTCACTTTATCGCTAAATAAAAGCCTGTACCTTGCTCTCCTACCTTGGCTGTGAAGCTCATTCTTCGGCTCCGCAAACAAGAACCCCGGCATCAGTAACAGAAATAGCTGTTATCTCCTAAAAGCCACTGAAGTACAGGCAGACATTTACAAAGGCTTCCACCCCACCCTTAAAGAGTTTGCAAACTGTAGAAAAAACAAGGCAGATAATTTTTTTTTCACCAGCAAAAGAGAACTACAGTACTTTAAGAATCACATTAACAGTTTCAAAAAACCTCGAACGACAAGACTTGCAAGTCACTGCCCGGTCCAGAGACATAAGCATCTTGTTGAGCTCCTTAGAAACTCTTGAGTTTCAGGTTTCTCCTCTTACTTTAAATCCCTATTTCCGTTGCTGTGAGTTGCTAAGAGGATGACTTAGGAAGAGAATTATTGAAGACAGTAAAAACTCTTTTAGAAATGAGGTGAAACTGTTATTACTAAAAAATGGAAAAGTGATTCTAAATCTTCCCAGAAACAATTCTTGGTTTTCCTTTGTTTTAAATATGTATCAGAATGAGATATTAACAGTTTCTTTAGGAGAGATTCCAGTTCTTTTCTTGGGTGATTTAAGGAGCATCACAAATTTCTCTCTTTACCCTCACCAAAAATATGCCCTCAGTTACTAATAATTGTTCATTATTTAATGAAGTAAAACACTGTACTGATTTAATAAAACTACTTTGGAAGGCAATTTTGTAACATCAATAAAGAACTGAAGGCACCTATGCCAGCAATTCTGCTTTTAAGAATTTATGTATAGCTGTAAATATGGTACTAGTTAAACCAATGACATTTTATTAATACAATGAAACCAGTAGACAGTAAAAAGCATGATATAGTTCTTTATATGTACTTTAGAAAGCCATCCAAGATATTTCATTAACTGAAAGAAACTCAAGGTGCAGAACAGTATGGTTCTATCTGATATTTTCAGTGGTTGTTCATATGTCTGGATATGCCCATGTAACTTCTGGGAAGATACACAGAATACACCTAGTTTCCTGGGAGACAGATGACTGAGTTAGATAACAGATCTATCTACCTTTCATTATATACTGTTTTGTAATTACTAATAGTTGGGCCATGCAAATATTAGATAGTTTTAATTTTAAAAACTTAGTTAATAGACAAAAACAGTGAATAACAAGGAGTTTGCTCATTCAAGACTTGTTTTAGTTAACCAGCTGTAAGCTAAAATAGACTACTCTTTTTCTGTGGCTATACTGTGAAGATATTTGACTCTACCCAAATAAGGCAATACAGAGTTAAAGAGAAAAGTGTTTTGTTTTTAAATGGTGGGCAAATATTGCATATACTTAGCTGAAAGGAAGGAGCCTTTAGGAAGAGGAAGACAGGACACATAATCTGTGAAAGAAAATCGCTGCCCTCCTGAAGGGGGATCAGCGCGAGAGCACAGAGGAGGATGAGCTTCCCTAGCTGTGCTGTGATCCGTGCCACGGTTGTCTTTGGTGTCACCAGCAGAACAGCTGACATTTACTGAAGATTTACTATGTTCCAGGCACTCTGTTATATGCTATACATTTATTTGTTTTATT